CAAAATTGTATATAAAATCTTGGCAAACATATCACCTCTACAGACAACATAGTTCTGGATTGTGTGTGCAGGTGTACTCACTTGATGGTCTGTAGGAAGCGTACTCTGTCATTGATCTCGTCTGGGATTTTGCTGAGAATGTGTTTGAGAGCGCGGGCCTTCTCATTCAGGTCCTGAAACTCTTGCTCCGGCCGCTCGATCATGAACTCTGCAAACACACAGCTGTTCACACACACTCCACTGGACACACGGGGGAATACACCACACACTGACTCTTAAGGAACCAAAAAGATGATTTAAAACTGACTCTTAGCACTGCTTCTCAGCACCACAGAGGAAGCTATTCACAAGTACCATGACAATAAAAAAACAAGACTGGGGAGTTCCCTTGCAACAGCACAAAACATTTGCCATTCAAAGACGATACCGCCTTAGAAAGTGTCTCCCATATAATATTTGCATATGAAGCAAAATACAACATGCCACAGATTTCCCAGTGACATACTGACCTCTTCATCTTACATACAAGTTTTCTTTGTTTGTAAAAGTGGACCATTTTAATGGACATGAAGGTCAAAAAATTACTGCATAAAAATTTGACAGTAATATGTTCTGCTCTTCTGGGGAGTCTGGTCCTACATTCAGTGCAAATGACTACGTCAGTAATGGATTTACAGTGTTATGATCAATGCACTCTCACTAATTATACTGCCATTAGTAATGACAAAGACACAAAGAAAGAACCAGATGCTGTCTGTGTGTGTGTGTGCTCCTGACGCTGTCCCACACATACATAGCTCTCTGGGGGTGTCCTTACCTTCCACATCGTCCGCTGCCATGCGCAGTAGAGACTCCGTGAAGTTAATTTGCACATTCTTTTTTTCCAGGATCTTCATTATAATGTCCTGAGTCAGACCGGGGTTTTCCCTCTCGGCCTGGAACGAAGAAAACTGCATTAATCTATCCTGTCACCAGAGAGAGGAGCCGGCATCAGCGCACATATCGTATTAATTAATTTTTAGTCATAGTATTTATTTATGTTGTAGGGACAGTGCATGTTAATTAACATCTATGATATCCATGCTGTAAACACACTGGATTGTAGCCATGGGCTCTTTTCCATCAGTTGTCCCACTTGTGCTCTCACAAACACTCTCACAAACACTTTCACATTCATACACCAGTGTACTTCAACAACACTGAGCTGAGCGTCCACTTCATTATCATTATGACTAATCTACATCTGTCCACACTGCAGAGGAAACACTCATCGGCAATGAAAACAAACCAAAACTCCATTTAAACTCTAATTCTATAAATATGAACCGTTTCATACAGACAAGAGCTGTGAGTGATGGGCAGTTGTGTAAAATAGGAAGGGCAGGGTGAGAGACTGTCAGCAGGATGGACTATACCCGCCTACTTCCTCTATGCATGTTTGTAAAGATAGTTATTTAGAACAAAACCTAACTTATACATTTCCTGTTAATCGGAGTACAACCACAAAGAAGCTAAGCATTGATTAAATGACCACAAAGGAAGCTAGTCGTCATTTCCTCGTGGTTAACAATTCTTCCTAAAGTTGTGACCGCACCATATTAGTTTATGAAGATATATATGAGTACTGTTAGTGACAATACAAAAATTTCAAACTCAATTTTGGTACAAAAAATAGAGTTAGTATGGATTTGGATACCACGATGATAATAGGATAAAGGACTTTTTAGACAATGTACAATGTAATTTTCAACATTGAAAGTAGTACTTTCTTTTATATTACCATGTGATCATATATCTGCATACTCCCTCTGTGGTCTAGGTAGGTTCTATGATAGTCAATGGATGTAATTATTCCCTGATTGTGAGAAAGATGGACTGGCGTGGGTAGTGTTGTGTTTTAATTTTTGTTTTTCCTCGAGAGATACAGATAAGAGGGAGCCACTGTCATGTATGTTAGCTCTGTGTTGGGCTACGTTCAGACTGCAGGGCTTAATGCTCAATTCCGATTTTTTTGTGAAATCCGATGTTTTTGCGAGGTCGTTCACATTTCCAATTAAATGCGACTTGTCTGTGACTCCAGTGTGAACGGTAAACAGCCCGAAAGTGTCCCGCATGCGTACTGGAGGACACGATGACGTCAACCCCATGCGTCAACCGCAGCAAGTGTGCTGGAGCGTGCTCTGTGTTTACGGAAGTTGTGGCTAGTTGTAGCTTGCTAACGGTTTCCGCCTGCTTCAGCGCAGAATAGTGACGTTTGTGGCTTGTTGATAATGTGTAGGTCGGATGAATGCGCTTTAGCCGTTCAGACTGAAGTCGCATGTCAAAAGATCGGATATGTATCGGTTTCAGGACCACATATCCAAGTGACCTGGGTCGCATTTGAAAAAAATTGGATCTGTGCCGTTCAGACTGTCATTAAAAGATCGGATACAGGTCACATAGAAGCCAAAAAATCGGATTTGGGTCACTTCAGGCTGCAATCTGAACGCAGCTTTAGTCTCTGTAGTCTACTACACAGGGATCATTCAAAGGAAAGGTTCATTTCTGTTCTGTGAATGTGACTTTACTATTAATACATTCTGAAATGAGTATCTAGTTTCGATAGTATCTTTAGTATCAATTATTATCTGATTTTTGATACTTTGACAGACCTAGTATGAGCAAACCCACATTTAAAAGATGTGGATTATGTTTTAGCATGCATGGAGGTCATGATGTTTAAAATGGCACTGAAGCAAGACAACAAACAATAAAGAACAAAAGAATGTCACTCATGAACAAACAGATGGATAGTTAGCATTTGCACAGTCCAGTTCAGCGCACTGGTAATAGTGATGATGAGATTCAACTAAAGTTCAGTAAAAGTAAAAGAGTAAATATAGGAAAAGAATGTGAATGGTGCTTCTTACCTTTATGAAGGCTGCTCTGAGTGTCTGTGCTGCTGACAGGTTAATCCTCTCCAGCTAATGAGACAAGACACACAAACATCTCTTTATGCAGTTAAATGTGCAAAGGGTGATTCAAGATTAGTCAGAACTAGGTACACCTCTATTACATACCAGACAATCACATTATTAAACATATTTACCTCATTAAAGACTGGGTACATCACAGCATACAGTGTCATGGATACCATGGAGTTAGTCTCCGCTTCATTCTTCATCTCCTCCATTGTCATCGTCAGCAGAGGAGCAGCCCGTGTAGAGAAGGTCCAGAGGAAAGTGCAGCGGCTCTCTCACTCACACACACATACACGCACCCACTCACACACACCCACGGATCACACACGGATCACCCACGGACACCCACAGAGAGAGGAGCACCCGTCTCCACACTGATGCGCCTGCACGGCCACAGAGGGACAGGGACACGGTGAGACAGGGTCAGGGCAGGGACAGGTGCAGCATCAGGAAGCAGAGTCACATCAGACATTACACAGAGGTTCAACTGCGAACAAATGTGCTTCTAAAATGTTTACAAATATATTTATCACGTGAATAAAGTCGAGCTACACATAAGTCAGAAGAGCGTACATGAACATAAATGTTTTTGCATAAATGTCTAAATCGCGAAGGTTTGTTAGCTGAAGGCTAAAGGGACTAGCACTGGGTGGTGAGCCTACGGTGCAAGCTTCTTTGCTAACTGAATCTAGAGAGGTAAACAACCATTAAATGTACGTGTGCGTACAAACAAGAGAAGAGAACAGCCGATCTGTGGTTAAAACGACTCTATGTTATTTAAAATCACAAATATGTTCCGATCTAGTGGGAAGAACATTGAATCGAGGCCTATGGCGGAGCTGTCGGTGTAGCACAGAGCTAACGCAGCCTGCGCTGGAGCTCCACTACACTCTATATTTGCATAAAGTAAAAGACAGACTGTGTGCGCACACTGCGTTATGACACAGGAGTAACACATGTACACATGTCGAGGAGAAACTGCTCTGTACCTGTGCTCTGGCTCCTCCGAAAGCCCAGTTACCCTGCGGAGCCTTTAGCGGACTGTTTTCTTTACAACTTAAGGCGGAAGTTTTTTTTAGCACTGACCTGAGCGACACTTCCGGACTGCGTCTACGTCAGAACAACACGTCCAATCAGAACACAGCAGCTTATTTCACAGTAATTCACACAAATATATTTACAGTCTATGATAATACAAGACTAACTCATGACTGTGGGACTTTAGCTCATAATACTTGAACACAGGAGCGTATAAGTACATAGGCCTTATATTTGGATAAGAATATACTAATAGTAATAGGTTTATGCGAGCAGATACAAGGTGAACATGTTCAAATCACATACTGGTTTTAATCATAACAATTCTCACACCAGTCTCATATGTGCGTTTCCAGAACTTTTGAAATCCGGTTGGTTTAAACCTGAAAGGACTTTCTCTGATCTGTGCAGCCTCTGCATGGCCTGTTCACATAGTGAGGGAAATGCATTTATCCTCTATGCAGGCTGAGGCACTGGCAACCAAAGTTGTTCCTTTTATAAACCATAAATATTATAATACCATGCCTTTAACATAGCCAGTTATAGGGTACTATTCAAGTTGTTAAATCATGACATTATGTTACTCAAATAGCCTACCAGGATAGGCTGCATGTACACGTTCTGAACCTCTGACCTACCTCTCACCGTGGCGATAACTTTTAACTTTTGTCCTCTGCAGGAGATGCTTGCTGTTTTACATACAGCCTAAAGATTAATTGACACACCCAGTTCACAAGGTTTGTGGAGCTTTCTTGGAAAAGTGAGGCAACGACCTGCAACAGCTGACAAAAAAAATATATATATATATATATCAACATAAATTATTCTTCTGTAAATAATATTTTATAATATAATATTTCTAATCCTAGATCAAAAGGATACGTGCATAAATACCTCGAAAAATATATTAAATGTATTTTACCCAGAATCTTTCGGATGTACTCTGCTCCACTCCTAATATGGTAAAGGTGTGAGTTGTTCTGATTGGCCAGCGCTCACCAACAGACGCTCACCTCATGACGGTACGTGAGGAGCTTTTAACGCGCGCCGCACCATCTGAACTCAGCAGCGAGCTCTTCATTCAAAGCTGTGGAGCGACACAACGCCTATTACAGGTGGGTTTATAGATTTACAATTTATCGTGTGTAGCAATTATGCAAAGTGCCATTGTCCAGTGTAATTCACGAATGCGTTTTTAAGCGTTGCTTTCGAGGGGAGATACATTGTCCTTCTCGGGAGCGACTGTAAGTAGCCGAACCAGACCTCATTCATGCAGTGACATGCACGTTGCCTTGAGGCTGTAGGGTCAGTGTGGGTTGTCGCTTTTGAAACGGTGTGAGCATTTTTGCATAGCTTTTTTAACGCTAATGTTAACACGAAGGTTCTAATGACGAAGGTTCTAATGACGTGTGAATCCATCCTCTACAACTGCGCCATCACGTAGCAATGCGCCAGAGTTTTCCGAAAATGTCGCATCAGAATATTATTCTTTCTTTCTTCTTTCTTCTTATTTTTCTCCTAACCAACTCACCCATTTTTCACCCACTAAACAATAATAACAAGTCCTGGAAATTTTGCCATCTGGTAAAACTCGTGTTTCCCTACGTTTTGGCTATTTCCATTTTTCAAACATAAATAAAATGGCTCGTCAGCGCCACCAAACGACTCAAAAATGCATTAGGGAATACGAATGACACACAAAAAAATGTGTATGTACAATCATGAAATTTGACACAGAAGTCGATCATGTCAAGACAAGGAAAAAATATTATTACGCCAACACCGTGCGCTCCACTAGGGGGCAGCAATATTGGCCGAAAGTTTGCTAAGCTTTTACGAACTCCTCCGAGGGCGTTCACCCGAACGAGCTCAAATTTGGTCCACATTATAAGACGTGGAACATCAAAACTTATCCACATTTTTCACACACGTCTCACGATCTCTGAGCAGTGAAGCAACAAAAAATGCACAAATTTAGGAGATTTACAAATTGCTCCCATTTGCTCAAACGAACTCTGATTTCATTGAAATTTGAAATAGTTGTTAAACTCTCTGCCCTGAAGCTACTTAATGTGAAAATTATTAATTTGGCGCATTAGCGCCCCCTATAGATTGAAATAAAATTTAATATGGAAGAAAATCATTTGTTCCCAAATAGTTGCTCAAAAATTTCTGAAATTATGCACAATATTCCATTTTGGCATCCTGATCCAAAAGTCAGTGACACCCATGTCATATTTTTTATGGCGTTGCCATAGCGATGACATAACCTCTCCATTGGTAAAATCTACAAATTCTGGCACTAAACTTTGGCCGATTTCACTCAAATTTGAATCGTTGATTGACACCTCGACCCTGAACAGATTTATATAAGAAAATCTCAGATGGGCGCAATAGCGTCCCCTAGGGAAATTGCATGGTACTGCAAACATTTACTTTGTTGTAGACATAAAATTTGGTACACAGATTCATGACATGATCTTGATCAAAAAAGTCAATGGCGACTCCATGCCATTTCCCATCGTGTTGCCATGGCGACAGGCCAAACATCTGCCCTCGCCAATAGGACACCCAAAAAAACTTTGGCGTACCCAAACCAAATTTGGTACACAGATGCATCATGGGAATAGGAACAAAAAAAGTATATTACGCGGTTGCTCAGCAACCAGCAGGAAGTCGGCCATATTGGATTGATCGTGCGACCTGTCCTCGTACTTAAACGAACTCTTCCTAGGGCGTTTGACCCAGACAGAATCATTCTGTATCATCTAGACAAGTGGGACATTAAAAGTTGTTAAAAGCTTTTTAAAAGGTCAAACGGTGTTGCCGTGGCAACGGTGCAAATTTCGGGTTCGTTTTTAGGGCTCACCATCAAACTTCGACGACTGATAATTTGCACAAACTTTGGCCGATTTCACTCAAATTTAAATCCTGAGTTCACACCTCAACCCTGAACAGACTGATGTAAGTAAAGTGGGTGCAATAGCGCCACCTAGCAATTTGCACAAACTTTGGCTGATTTCACTCAAATTTTAATCGTGGGTTCACACCCTGACCAGATTGATGTAAGAAAATACAAAAAATGGGTGCAATAGTGCCCCCTAGAAAATTTGTATGTAAAAATAAGGTTTTATTTGTCACAGATATTCAAAATTTGGTATCCACATTTGTGACATGGTCTCGATTAAAAAACTCAATGATGCTCACATCCCGTTTACATTGTGTTGCCATGGCAGCAAGCCAAAATTGTATCCTTGCCAATGGGACGTCCTTACACAAACGTTGGCGTAGCCAAACCAAATTTGGTAGCCAGATGCATCATGGCAATAAGAACAAAAATTAATATTGTGACCACGCCCATTTACAAACCGGAAGTCCGCCATCTTGGATAAAAAAAATTTGCCAAATTTTGAAATTTGCAGGGTTAAATTAAGATTTTTAGGGCTAGGGTTGGAGCTATGGTTAGGATTATGATTAGGGTAAGGTTTAAGCTTAGGCTTATTAGGGTCAGTGTGAGGTGCGGTGTTTGCGGGGCGCGGCGTAAGCACGCGCAAGGGCCGATCATTGCCGCTTGCGGCTATATTGTGCATTTGGATCCAGCTCCTAAAATGGGTTATGTCTCCACGTGTAGATTTACTCTGCTAACTTTAGACTGAAAGGGATAGCAGAGACAATGCTGCCAACGCTAGTCCCAGATTGTTTAAGATTATTTTTTATATTACTTGTAGTATCAGGCTTGGTTTTGTGATCATCTTATGTTATTCCCTGGCTTCTTTATTCTGACATTTGCTTTGACACATTTCCCTTGGGGTTCCTAACTTGAAATACCATTTGGCTCATGCATGGAAAACGCGTTATTTTGAGCCCGTGGCAAAATCCTAGAACAGGAGTTTGTCACCCTCTGCAGGTGACAAAAGAGAGCACAGGTAGTAGCAGCATGATGCTATCAGACATGTGTGCACAAAAATGAATGTAATAATAATGAATAAAGGGATTTTAAGCCTCGCCTAATGTATTGGCATGCATTGTGAGGTCATGTGAAAGACCTGAAAGAGTCTGAGTGGATCAGTTATAATCAGCCTGGTGTGTTCAGTAAACAGAGACCCCACCAAACAGGAAGGATTACTTAAATGCCTGTTGTTTATGTTTTGGGTGCAAACAACATTGGGTTGGTATGGAATGTTTATAATTGTTTAACTATAGGTACTATATAACGTATATCTCTTTTCTGAGTTTGGGTGTGCTTTGTTTGCCAGTATAACCCTTAAAGCACAATATTATGCTATTTTCTTTATGATAATCTTTGTTATAATGTTGTTTCCTCATGAAAATATACCTGGAATTTGTGTTTCATTCACACATGTTTAACACAAACATGTGTGAAAGAACAACACCGTATGTTTAGGTTTATTTTTTTCTCTTAAACAGAAAATAATCTCTGTTCCACCTTGTGATGTCATGTGGTAATACAGTCAGCACTCCACTGTGTTCTTATAAACACCTTCACTAGAATCCATGGCAAATGACAAATTTGTCCACTGGACAAAAGTTAGTTTGGTCAAAAACGTTTCGCAGAAGTTAAGCTGCTTCTTTAGTCCAGAACTGAAGAAGCAGCTTTGACCAAACTAACTTTTGTCCAGTCGACAAACTGAATTTCTCCTTTGCCATGGATTCTACCTGGATGACTGAGGGATTTTTCACACTTCACTAGAATCAGGACTTTCACCCTTGGAGTTCCTAATCTCTTCAGAACTAAAGGTAAGGAGCTGTTAACTTGTAAATTACTGCTTCATGACTTCACAAGGTGGAACTGAGCATTTTGAGCTTTGGAGATGCAGACAAACTGAAAAAAAGAATGACTTAAACATGTATGAATGAAACAAAAGACAGCTCCTGGTATGTTTTTGAGGAGGTAAGAGCATTCCAACATGGCTTAACGCTCACAAGACTCAATTTTACGCAATAAAGAACAAACCCTAACGCTTAAGTCTTGACCTCTGTGTGCAGGAGCATCAGCCATGTCAGTGAAGATCCACATAAACAGCCCTCATGTGAGCTACACAGACACTCACATTGAGGCAGATTATGTGTACCAGAGCACAGCTGTTCACAGAGAGGGCGACCACATCACGGTAAGCAGATATAAACACCTATTACTGCTCCCAAGCTACTGTTACAGCCAATTAGTTTTTATTTGCCAACATTTTAAGGATTTCTGTCATTTTCACATATTATTAAGTTTCTTCTATGATATTTAACCATCACTCTGACCAATCAAAGCAAAAATAAACTCCATATTAGGTTTTATAAATCACTACAAGGCAGAGGTGGGATCAAGTCGTTGTTTTGCAAGTCTCATATACTGTACGTCTCAAGTCTTTGACCTCAAGTCCAAGTCAAGTCCCAATTCAAATACAGGCAAGTCCAAGTCTTGAGTTACTGGTCCATAAGTCCAAGTCAAGTCCAGGTCGTCTGCTTTGAGCTTCAAGTCATTTCAAGTCTTTAAACCAAAACACCAAATATAGCTTAGATTTTTGCAATTTATTTGAATTTTAAACTAAATTGTACTTAAAAAAAAAATCATAGTATATTTATATATGAGCATTTATAGAGAATATAAGAGTTGATGAAATGTAAATTTTTCCTTTTTAAATGTTTTGACAAGATTTTAGTGTGAATCATTATGGTCAGAATAGAAAGAATTCAGATTTAAAAGAACTTCTCAAGTCTTCTCAAGTCACAGGCCTCAAGTCCAAATCGAGTCCCAAGTCTTAGTCCATTTTATCAAGTCAAGTCTCAATATGGATTAAGAAAGCTGTCAAAAATATTTGTGCGCATAAAATAGAAATCCGTGCGTATTTGGGAAATCCGTGCATATTTGGCTGTAGATGCGCATAAAATAAATATTTGTAAACTCTCAAATGAGTCCAGTCGTACATAAAATATATTGTGTGTATTTTATCCATCAGAATACGAATTGAAAAATTACGACGTCATGAATTACAATCACGAAATGAAAATTTACGATTACGCTTTCATCAGTACGAATACGAATTCACAGACGGAATTTTACTGTCAAAAATACCTCATCACTTCACAGACATTATCCATCGAGCAGAAGAAACATCGATCAAGATCAAGACTGCGCATGCTCAAGTTTGTAGCAGAGGGTAAAAACAGAGTAATAGCACAAGGAGCTACAACAGCGACCAACAAGTGGGTTAATTAAAATCTATTGTAAAAATGTCTTGAATTCAGGAACCGAACGCTGCTGTATAATATTGTGTAGAAACACCTCCTTTGAATGGGAAATTGCACCTATATGTTAGATAACATAGTGGTAGCCAGTTTGCTAACATCACGCCACGGATTTCTATTTTATACGCACAAATATTTTTGACAGCTTTCTCACTCCATATCTCAAGTCCTAAAAATAGTGACTCAAGTCAAAATCACGACTTACAAGTCTCCACCTCTGCTACAAGGTGCTAACTACATTTAAACTACATTGTTGAAAACAGCAAAGCAAACATGGTCGGTGTGTTGGTGCCTTCACGTCCATAAAAAGCTCAAAATGATAAAGTTAAGTGTGCACCACCATTGAAGAACACAGCACCCCTATAGTTTCTCCAACCAAAAACCGTCCTTCTGCCCATCCTTGTTTATCTGACCAAACAAAAATTAGATTAACAAACACAAGTGATATATTTAGTCTCATGTCAATTAAACATACTGTCCTGTAGAAGTTACTGATATGAAATCTAGAAATAAATCACATATTGAGCAAAACAGCGTGGTCAGGAAGAGGACAATATTTCAGAGCTAATACGGCCAAATTCACTACATGTTTATTCTTTATAGGTGACCCCACGCAACACTCAGATGACCTTCCGGACACAGAGCCACGTGCCCAGGCTCGGAGTGATGCTGGTGGGTTGGGGAGGCAACAATGGCACCACCGTCACTGCTGCGGTACTCGCCAACAAACTGCAGCTAACGTGGAGAACCAAGACTGGAGTCAAGGTAACAGAGAAACAGGGCAGTAAGGATCATTCAGCGTGGATTTATTTGCCATTGCCAATATTTTACAACACACAGTGACCGCCATAAATGTAGTAAAGTTCACAATAGGGTTTAGAATGATCTGGAGCTCTGTCAGCACAAGTATAAGACCACATAGACTAGTGTCCTTGGACTATGGGATCACAGGTGTAATAACATTCTGCTGTCTAAAGAAAGACTAGATGATTTGTCTGATAATATACCACGGAAAAATGAGAGATTACATCAACATCACATCAGTACTAATAATTGTGGAAACATATGGCCTCATCTTTAGCATCATTGCTCTTGTTACTAAGACAGTGGACACTTTAGAAAAAAAAAAGTAAATAGCAAATTAGCAAGTAAAGAGAATTAAAAAAAATATATATATTGGTAAGGTTTATGCTATATTGCCACCTGAAGGGGCTATAAACAGATCAACAAGACATTTGTCTAGTTCTCCAGTGGGGTGGGATGAGATCTTGTGCCATGAGAGCTGAACAGAGTCTGAATCTGAGTAAATATAGAGCCATTTTCACAGTATATATAGACACATTTTCACAATAAATATAGACACATTTTCACAGTATATATAGACACATTTTCACAGTATATATAGACACATTTTCATAGACTCATCGAACGTAGAAGGTCACTTACACAAGCTTGTAAAACGTACACAAATATGTCAGAACCACTGCCAAATATCATCCAGGGGTACAGAAACCTGCAGCTCCTTGGTGAAGAGGTTTATGGAAAAGTCCTGCACTGCTTCAAGCCTAAATACACCAAAGGCTGTGGCAGTCAAAATCACGGAGGGAAAAAGGGGCGAAGAGGGAGACGAAAAAGCTTTCAGAGAAGAGCTGCACATGCTCCACCATGTTGGACAGCTGGATCCTGACAAACACAACATCAAACAAAGAATGTCAAATTCATTCATTCATTGAGGCCTGGGAGCTTTATAGTTCTGCACAGTATCTTTGCTGTTCCTAGTACTGCACTTTTCTGCACTGAAATGTCTGTTGTTTTTCCTGGTATCTGCTGTAGCCACTCTTCCAGTTTGGGTGTTACTGTCTCGAGTGCTCTGATCACCACAGGCACATTGATGCCTTCACTTTCCAGGCCTTCTCCAGCTCTTCCTTAAGCCCCTGTTATTTCTGTAGTTTCTCGTGTTCTTTTTTTCCTGATATTACCATCGCTTCATGACAAATATTGATCACAAAAAAAAGCATTAGAAGTGTCTGTGACTGCAGCCCAAGGGCCTCAGTTATCAATCCTGGAGCTAAACTGCCAGTGTAAAGTGAAAAACAGCATTGGGAAGTGCGTGTATTATTTCTGCCATAAAACTAATATATAAATGAAAGTTCGCGCACCTCTGCGTCAAGTGAGCTATCTAAACTGTTGAAGTGTTGTTGCAAATTGATGTTTTGCTTAAGCAGCAATTTGCCTTGGGAACAATAAAGTATCTCTCTCACTCTTTCTCTCTCCACAGTGACTGGACCTCTGAGTTTGCAGACATAGGACAGATTTTAGAACATGGGACCGTCTTTAGAACATAGAACAGGCTTTAGGATATAGGACAGGCTTTAAGACATTGGACAGACTTCAGGACAAACAAAAGACTTTAGGACATGGGACAGTTGCATTAAATTAAACACTCTGGATTGGTGAAAAACTTGTAGGAGTCAAGGCTCTGTTTGCAGCTCTGAGTACATTGTGAACTGTTCTGTTTTAAAAATGACGTTGCTCATCACCGCCAGGGCTGCCCTTTGTCACCGGTTCTGTTCATTGTATTTATGGACAGAATTTCTAGGCACAGTCAGGGGCTGGAGGGGGTCTGGTTTGGGGACCACAGGATCTCATCTCTGCTGTTTGCGGATGATGTTGTCCTGTTGGCTTCATCGAACCAGGACCTGCAATGTGCACTGGGGCGGTTTGCAGCCGAGTGTGAAGTGGCTGGGATGAAGATCAGCTCTTCTAAGTCCGAGGCCATGGTTCTCGACCGGAAAAAGGTGGCTTGCCCTCTCTGGGTGGGTGGGGAGTCTATGCCTCAAGTGGAGGAGTTCAAGTATCTCGGGGTCTTGTTCACGAGTGAGGGAAGGACGGAACATGAGATTGACAGGCGGATCGGTGCAGCTTCGGCAGTGATGCGGTCGCTGTATCGGACCGTTGTGGTGAAGAGGGTTTATCTATTTACCGGTCAGTCTTCGTTCCTACTCTCACCTATGGTCATGAGCTCTGGGTAGTGACCGAAAGGACAAGATCACGGATACAAGCGCTCGAAATGGGTTTCCTCCGCAGGGTGGCTGGGCGCTCCCTTAGAGATAGGGTGAGGAGCTCAGTCACACAGGAGGAGCTCGGAGTAGAGCCGCTGTCCTCCACGTCGAGAGGAGCCAGTTGAGGTGGCTCGGGCATCTGTTCCGGATGCCTCCTGGGCGCCTCCCTCGGGAGGTGTTCCGGGCATGTCCCGCCGGGAGGAGGCCCCGGGGAAGACCCAGGACACGTTGGAGGGACTATGTCTCTCGGCTGGCCTGGGAACGCCTTGGGGTCCCCCCGGAGGAGCTGAAGGACGTGTCTGGGGTGAAGGAAGTCTGGGAGTCCCTGCTTAGGCTGCTGCCCCCACGACCCAGCCCCGGATAAGCGGACGAAAATGGATGGATGGATGGGTTTCTCATCACGTTCCTAATAACATGTGAGATTATGGCAGGCACATGTATCTCTTATTCTTAATTATCTACTTACTTATTACTGCTCTTGGACTATTACAATAACTAAACAATTAGTCAATCCTAATTAGGCTGCTAAAAACCACTAGAGCCCTCACCCCGTTTTATAAATATAGCCCTGTGCCTGTAATAGACTGTCACTGATTCTAAGTTCATTCTGTCATGTTCATTAGACTGTCAGACTGTATCCACACTTCATATTATGCCCCTATAAGGCTCCACTCTGATCCTTATGTAATATAGGAACTTTCCATTGAAAATCTTGCTCCTGCTTCTTGCTGCAAATAGTAATTTAGCCTTAGAGTGCGTTCATACTTATGTTGTTTAGACCTCTTCTTAGACCTGCTGGAACAATAGTTTTTGGGGGGCAATATTTATCATGAGTACATTTTCTTTGTAGTAGTGTGGGGTGTTTTACAATTTTTATACAATAATGTGTGCTGTCGATCAGTGTTTCCCAAACTTTTTTTCTGGGGATTTTAAAAGTCACAAGCCATCGCCACCCAAATCAATAGACTATTCATAAATCACAAAATAAAGGTGGATTTGACCATTATTGAACATTAATGAGGATATTTTATTGTTGACTGAGTGATTGTGTCTCTCTGAACAATTAGTATTACTCACGTTTTAAACAATAAAAAACAGTAACTGAACCCGCAATAAAAGGATCCATAAGTCGCCTATTTGGACATTAAATGTTGCCCATTTCTTTAACTTTTCAACATTCATGTGAACCAGCAATATTGGAAAAAAATAGTCACCCGCTCTCTCATGTGTCCGAACTGTATATTGCAGAGCTACATGCAGATCATGACAAGGCGACCAAAAAAAATCTCTTGCAATCCACCTGTAGACGACTTCTACTATTATACTATTATAGATTAAAACTACCTACTGTGTTTCATTCAGGTCTTTTTTTTTAAGTTTAGTGTTGTCACAGTACTGGAATTTAAAAAGTCTTGATACTTGTTTTTATCACCAATTTTGCTTTCATTCAGATCTTTTTTTTAAAGTTTGGAGTAGATTTTTGGGATTTCAGTGGCATGAATATATTTCATTAGTATTGTTTGTCATCTATCATTTCAGTATATCATGCTTCTTACATTTTTTGCATGACAGGCCCATTTGGTTTGTTCCATTCTAGTTCTGGTTCAGTCCTGGTCTAGTCCAGATTTAGCTCCAGGTATAGTCCCAATTGTGATGTGGTCATTGCGCAATTAGACTGTACTAGTGTTGTCACAGTACTGGAATTTAAAAAGTCTTGATACTTGTTTTTATCACCAATTTTGCCTCCACAATCCTAAAAAATCCAAGCATGAAATTTTCAACACAAAATACTGAGAGTTCTTTCATATCAGCAGGTGGTCTTGTACTAGTTCTGAGATGGACAAGACCATATAAAACTAGTCAGATTTGTCGTCTTTGTGTGATTTTTGTTACAGTTTGTATGGTATCTAGTTTTCATACTGGCTTTAGTATTGAAGAAAATCTTAGTGTTTGATTCTTTTAATTTTGTTTTCATTCTTTTTCTAAAAGAAGGCAAACTACTACGGCTCCCTACTGCAGTCCTCTACTGTGTGTCTAGGCTCTGACCCACAAGGTGACGTCAACATACCCTTCCGCGATCTTTTACCCATGGTGCACCCAAATGATATTGTCTTTGATGGTAACTCTTGACTACAAAATGAAATGAAAGTCTCCATTCATAAAAAAAACTGCATTCTTTAGATTTTTCCTCGCAATTTTGACCATTTTAGGCTGGGATATTTCCTCCTTGGATCTGGGGAGGGCAATGGAGCGAGCCGAGGTGCTTGACTGGGCCTTACAGGAGCAGCTGCGTCCAATCATGAGCCGAATGAAACCCAGAAAGTCCATTTATAATCCAGATTTCATCGCTGCTAACCAGGAGAGTCGAGCTGATAATGTCCTCATGGGGACTATAGCAGAGCAGGTGGGAAATATAGATAATACAATACAGGATATTGTGTTCATTTTGTTACATACATAATACAAGAGAATGCATTTGCTCGTGTAGATGAAGCAGATCCGAGCTGACGTCAAAGACTTCCGCAGCTCCAGTGGTGTGGACAAAGTGATTGTGCTGTGGACGGCGAATACAGAGCGCTTCTGTGATGTCACCCCAGGGCTTAATGACACTGCAGACAACCTACTAGCAGCTATTCAGGTAAATTCTCATACTAGAACCAGAATTGTACATGAATGTTGTTGTGGAAAACTAAAGTACTGATCACAAACCAACTGATATAATGAAGGATAATGCAATTAATTTCACAGTTTAAGACCTAGATTAGATTGCCCAGGGATTATGCCCAGGTGGAAATTAGCACTGGTGCTGGTGGCTCGACACTTCACCCACATTGATTAGTATGAAAGTGGTGTGTGCGTGACAGTGGTGGTCGGAGGGACCGTTGGCGCCGATTGGCATGGCAGCCACGCTTCTGTCAGTCTGCCCCAGGGCAGCTGTGGCTACAACAGTATCTTACCATCATAGAGTGAATGAGTGAATGAATAATGCTGAATGTAATGCTCTGTAAAGCATCTTTGTGACAAAAATGTCTGAAAAGCACTATATAAATAAATGAATAAATAAATAAAGACTTACTAGAACAAGAGAGTAGAGTTGTCAAAATTTCCAGCTCGATTTCAATACTAAGGAATAAATTCGATACCCAATATCTATTCCGATACCATGTAATCCTTCAGTGGTCCAGGTAGGTTCCACAGTGGTCCATGGTCGTATACTAGTCTATGTGCTCTTATACTTGTCCTGATACAGTTCAAGATCATTTTAAAGCTGTAGAAAAAACTAAAATGTGGCAGTTTGCTGCAGGTGTTCCAATCGGTGGGAGCAAGTAGAGGGTGCTCTTGGAAAAAGGGTCAAAACTTTAAACACAATGAAATCTATTCACTCCAAAGAAGTAAAAATATAGTTAAAAGGCCTTTATTTAGGTAGTCAAAGCCAACACGTTTTGCCCAAACTGGTCTTCATCAGGGCTTAGTTGATTCTAAAGATTCAAAATCATTCTAAAGCTATTAAGGAAAGGTTTGTTTCTCTCCTGTGAATGTGATTTTTTTTTAGTACCCCTGCTCAAAAGAATGTCTAGTTTTTGTGTTAAAACAACACAACATTAAAAAGACAGAGGTATGAAAACAAACTCTTGGTCTGAAAAAATTACCTACTAACATACATTTTCGGAAGATCAAATTAATCTTATTGGACTAAAGTGCTAATGTGCTAATGTGCTTTAAGAGAGGCAGTGCTGTTGGAGTGGAGCAGTTGCATGATTTTTTTATGTTCAAACACAAGGAGGTGGTTGAATTTTAGCTGCTGCTTTCAGACATGTTTCAAACCTACCAGTAAATATACTTCGCTACATGAACACATTCATTCAACATTTTAACATAATGTATAATTGTTTGCTTCCCCTAGGCCGGGGCAGAGGTGTCTCCCTCCACCCTATTCGCTGTGGCCAGTATCCTGGAGGGCTGTGCCTTCATCAATGGATCCCCACAGAACACCTTCGTCCCCGGGGCCGTGGAGCTGGCCGTGCAGAGGGGAGTGTTCATCGGAGGAGACGACTTTAAATCAGGACAGACCAAGATCAAGTCAGTGCTGGTGGACTTCCTGGTCAGCGCTGGCATCAAGGTGAGAATGTGCCTGGGTCCACAGTACACACTTCATCAATACTTTACAAAGATGTGAGTCTGGTCACCGATGAATCTCCAAGAGTTAAATGTTAAAAGTTAAAGAGTTAAATGAATGAATGTTTAGTCAGACTTTAATGCATAGAACACGCACAGAAAATGTAAATACATAGATATAATACAAAAATAAATAAATACTTCTTTACTATAACAATAAACAAAAATAAATGGCATATTTTACTTGGGGCAGTTCATATGGGCGTGACTGACAGATGGATTAGCCATTTATTAAAAATTTATTAAACATCTATTAAAACAAATGGGGCTGATTACAACAACAAAAATTCACAGGGGACTATGAAATCACAAATTTCTGTCACACATTAAACTCTAATTAAACTGAGGTGACCAAAGATCTTCTTCACTTCACATCTCAATGGAAAAACACAAATCTGATTGCACGTCCATGTTTCAGCCTAAATAACATGTTATAATGATCCATTTTATATATCACATTTTTATTTGTCTTGCCTAAGAACACAATAATAATACACACCATCTGTTACAACGGTTTGTATTTCTTTCTGTGACAGCCCACCTCAATCGTCAGCTACAATCACCTGGGCAACAACGACGGCAAGAACTTGTCGGCTCCACAGCAGTTCCGCTCCAAAGAGATCTCCAAGAGCAACGTGGTGGACGACATAGTGCAGTCCAACCATGTCCTGTACAAGCCCGGAGAGAAGCCTGACCACTGTGTAAGCCCAAAAATAATGTGTATTAAAGGTCCTACATTACATAAATTTGACTTTTGTGAGCGTTAAGTCATGTTATAATGTTACCTCATCACAAACATAACTGGAGTTGTGTTTTGTTTCATTCACACATGTTTGAGTAATTCTGGATTATCATCTCCAATTCTCAAAATGCTGATTCACTAATGTCATGAAGAGTTTGAAGAGTTTGATTGATTGATTGATGAATGATTCTAGTGAAGGTGTATGGAGTTTGAAAACATGAATGAAACAAAACACAGCTCCAGGTCTGTTTTTGATGACAACAACGTTATAACAGATCAGAAAATAGCATAATAAGGGCCATTTAACCTGGTCATATCCTAATTTCTAAAATGCGTTGTGTTTTTAGGTGGTGATAAAGTATGTGCCGTACGTGGGTGACAGCAAGCGCGCCATGGATGAGTACATGTCGGAAATCATGATGGGCGGGACCAATACTATCGCCCTGCATAACACTTGTGAGGTCAGTCTGATTAGCCATATGTGTTTCTCATCAAAGTGCTTTAGAGCATTATTAATTTATTAATATGGTGTTTATTAATTTGGTGGGATAAAACCTGTTGTAAATATAAATGATACTTTTACACCAACCAAGAAGCAGTTTGCCAAGAAAAATTGAAAAATGTTTGAAAAATATGTCATAAATTACAGGAAGTAAGGCGTTCCTAAAAACTGATGACATCTCACTGGGGAGAATTCTAGCCAAACATTTGAAACACATTTTTTCTGATACCTTAAACCAGGGGTGTCCAAACTTTTTTCATCAAGGGCCACATATCTAAACAAAGACGAAGCAGAGGGCCAATCAAGGGCCGTAAACTGGTGCTCATTACAGTGTATAATTGAAATATCCTGAAAAATCCTTAAAACCACACACTAAATATTAAATATCGGCTTTATCAAGGTAGTAAAAAGTTTGTTTTTAATTGATGCAAGGTAATTTGGGCCAGTTCACCTGGAAGCCTGAGGGCCAAGAAAAAATTGTCTGAGGGCCGCATTTAGCCCGTGGGCCATAGTTTGACAAGCCTGCCTTAAAGATTATTTCACCAAAATAAAGGTGTTTTCTTATATATGTATTTGTCAGATAATAGTTTTTTTTTCCTAGGTAACAGTTGTTAGAGAAAAATGTGGATTGTCAGAACGTGTCCTAAAGTTGTACATATATATATTGCAGAGATATTTTTATTACTTATATCAATTTATTAATATTTATTATTTCCATTTATATATTTTTTGTCTTTGTTAGTGTAATATATTGTGATGTGTGAGCTACTGTGTCCAAGTTATTTCCCTCAACACTGTTCTTTTGTATTGGCTACTCAGGCTCGACTTGGAGGTTCAAATAGGAGCACTGCAAATTTCTCTGATCTGGCCAAGATTTTTAAAATTATATCAGGTTATTCATCTTGTTTTCAGATTTATTATCTACTTCCTAGACCAGAGACTGCTTAATTCTAGTCTAGAGGTTGTTTATTTTAAGATAGCTTGTCAAGTTAAATTATCTTGCTGCATGGACAGACTGTTTCACTACTTTTAAGTCATTTTCTGATAGATTTAAGTGTTTATATCTTAAATTTTGGCCAGGCTTTTTTGCTGTGAGCTAAGAAGGACAGTCTGGAGATAAGATGGTCGAGATAAAATGGGAAGAGCATAGCGCACCGGTTTTGTAGGACAAAGGAAAGTGATAATGTTAAAAAAGGACAAATTCTGTAATATTTGGATGGCGCCAGGGCTAACCACAGAGAAATGTCAATAATGAACTCGAGCTGTCCTTGCTAAGACTATGCAGGGGATGCAGGAAGTACATTTTTAAACCTAAAAAATGTCAAATTGTGAAAATGAGTTTGGAAGTTTTTGCAAAAATCTTTAACATGATGATCTTAACTGTCTTTTGGTTAATTGAGTAATCTAACCTATCATCGGCACATTACATTGTATGAAAGTAATCTGGTTTGAATGTTTTTTGGGTAAGGGTTCAAACAGGTGTGCGTACCTTTAATTTTGTTTATAAAGCACAAACAAGTAATCAGATTTGATTTTTTCTTGAAAGCGTGGCAAAGCCATCTTTCACCGTTACAAAATATAATATAATTTTTTGATTTACGATTTATGTTTTCAATCAGGAATCTGTTCGAAATTGACATTAACCCTGAGAGAAAAACTGAACTATGATTTGCTATGTAATTCAGATGTTTATAGAGGTAAATATACATATAAACCACAAAGAGCTGCAATATTTTAGATGATAACTTATTGCGATACACAAATTTCTAACCCAATCTGATATTAAGAAATGGTCTTGATACTCAAAACCAGTTTCAATACCAAGATGTAGCCTCTTTTTTTAAACAAAGACTCATTTACAACACAAAACTATAATACTTTTTTATATTTTCATGTATTCTGTGCACTAGTTCTAATAAAGCTCAAGGTGATTTTAGAACAGGATAGGTCATTTTTTATATGGAAACACTGTGACTATTTTGTTTTGATAATAGTTTAAAATTTAGATCTTATTTTCATTTTTTTAACAAGCTGACTTCAAAATGCTGTCTTGTTTTTGATTGTGATTAATTGTGCAGCTCTAATTAAAGTTCAGTCATCGAGTCTATCATCCTGAATGTTTTGGATGGATATTGTGTATTGTGCTAATCCAAACAGAAAAGTGTCAAAGGCAGTTTCATTTCTAGTTAGATCAGTTTCTGAGCAGAATACAGAGAGAGCAGATGTATCTGGGGTGTTATGTAATTCCTCCCTCTTCACCATTTGACAGGACTCATTACTGGCCAGCCCCATCATCCTGGACCTGGTGATCCTCACAGAGCTGTGTGAGCGTGTGAGTGTGCGTGTGCAGGGAGAGCAGGAGGAGCAGTCCTTCCACAGTGTACTGGCTCTGCTCGCCTTCCTCTGCAAGGCTCCCCTCGTACCACCAGGGGCGCCAGTGGTCAATGCATTCTTCAAGCAGAGGGCGTGCATTGAAAATATTATGAGGTTTGGACCACATTGTATTTTTGTTTCAGATGCTATTCACTGGTCTTAAAGGTCCAATATGACACAAAATTAACTCTTGTGAGCTTTAAGACATGTTAGAATATTGTTACTTCATAAAAACATAAACGCAGTTGTGTTTTGTTTCATAAGTAACTTTTTATTTTTAGTCTGTCTACATCCCCAAAGCTCTAAATGGTCTTTTTCATCTTGTGATGTCATGTGATAGATTTCAAGTTAATAGCTCCTTTTATCTTTTGTTCAGTAGAGGTTGACATTTCCACGGCTGAAATCATCCAAATGATTTTAGTGAAGGTGTATGTACTGTTTGAGAGAAGCCTAAATATGCATAGTTTGTGTGTTAATAAAACAAAACACAACTCTGGTTATGTTTCTGATAAGGAAACAACATTATGACATAGATTAAAAAAAAATTGTAATATGGTCCCTTTAATAATTGCAAATAAAAGTCACCAGTATTTGTGTTGTTTTTGCAGAGCCTGTCTCGGACTTCCACCTCAGAACCACATGTTATTGGAGCACAAGTTGCAGAAAGGTTTTGTTCTTCTTCAGAAGAAGAAGTTTGGAGAGACAGCTCTCAATGGAGAAGCACGAACCAATGGACATGGCTACATCGACGGCTACTCCTATAACAGTGAACCAGCGTAGTACTGTTAGGAAATCTACCAATGATGTTGTTTATGCAAATACTACAATTCTCTGATATAAAACTTGAATTTGTAATTGCCGATTAAACACTCATTCTAGTATTCTACTTAACGTGATTTCTAACATGAGCAGTAAAAGCATGCAGACTTTTAAAGCTTTAAAAATGTTTGACTTGAGGCCAGTGGGCATTATGTTTTTTCATTCACAGGCTATTAAAATACACAAATATATAGAATGTATAATTATAATAACAGGTTTTTGCTTTACACATTTCATTTTCTCGAAACACTTGTCCATGCATGGTGAGATATGTTTGCAGTCATATATGTCATGGGACAAAGTGACCACTACGACCACAACAGTCACAGGGTAAATTAATCTACATTTTGTTTACACTTCCTATTTTAATATTTACTCATAATTACTTAACCATGTAATATTCTTATATTGTTTATAAGGTTAACCCAGACATAGATGAGGCCGGAGCGTCTTTAGACTTGAGTTTATTACAACTGAATAACAGCAACTACAGATAGCAGTAGGGACATATAAAAGGTGACTTTGCAATTCACAATACTTTACATTCCCCTTTATCAGTAATAAAATATAACTGACTGAGATTAGTGCAAATAGCTATTCTATTATGATTCAAAGCGTGCAATAATGGAATAATCTTTTTTATGTTAGTGCAATTAATTAAATAAAGCCTATAAACACTATACTATACGTTTTTTGTTTGTTTTAACCTAACTAAACTAGGAAGGAGAGGTTACTTATTGAATTACTGTACTTTAATTCTGAATAATTTACTCAGAATCAATTTAAATCCCGAAATAATGTGGTAGGTTGCATTCTAATTTGTGTATTTTCTAATGTCATTACGGCAAGGCAAGTTTATTTGTATAGCACAACTCAAAACACACAAAATATACACAAAAATAAAAAACTAGAAAAGCACTCAGAGAGCGCAGACCTCCGCCAAGGACTACCCCCATTTTTTATATAAATTGCGATAAAATCAGTCTTCTGGATCAGATCCGGTACAGCCTTTGGAATATTAAAGAGGATCCCATTGTCCATCCCTGAGTCAAATTTCATGGGGTTTGGTCAATAATTAACCGAGATATTGAGAAACTAAATTTTTGGCCCCATTTACCACAATGTTAACTAAAATTTCAAAGTGATCCAGAATCCAGGATTTCTTCCGGATCACCCCCAAAATGAAATCAGTTCTTCCTTTTCACATTTCCAACAAATCCTGAAAATTTAATCAAAATCGGTCCATAACTTTTTGAGTTATGTTGCTAACAGACAAACAAACAAACAGACAAACGCCGGCAAAAACATAACCTCCTTGGCGGAGGTAATAATCACAATACAAACAAAAACATAAATAATCAACGTAAGAATTGAACAAAAGCCTTTCAGTCATATGCATAACTGAGCAGAACCTTTTTTTTTTTATATAATAAAGTCTATTGAATGAAAGCTGTAGTCCAATCACAGTGCACCATCTCGTCCCGGAGCTTCTGCAGCATCAGCGCGCATCCGGAGCACTTCCGCCGCGGTTGCTGCGACACGAAACGTCAACAGACATGGCGGATAATAAAGAGAAGCGCCGGTCCGCTGTTATTCCTCCAGCCCTGGCCGACAGCAAAACGGCCAAATGCGACAGCGACCGAGAGTTCCTGGCGCAGGCCGACGTGAGCGAGCTGCTGCGGGGCGCGATCCTCAAGATGGTGGAGGTGAGAACAGACGACCCCATCGGCTTCTTGGCGGACCACTTCTGCAACCTGGCCTCTGTGAGCGAGGCTGGGACCGGGGGCAGCGAGGCGGACGAGATGAACAACGGGACACTGGGAGGACGCGCGCACGAGCAGCAGAGACTCAACCGCGCGCTCTGGCACCTGCGTTTGGCGCACCACTCGCACAGGTATGGCACGGAGGTAAATGAAACAGAAAACGCACTCCAAAGTCCTTGTAGAGGTGCAAATGCAAGAAAACAGGGAACTAAAAGTGAAAAAAAAATGTATAGCACACTCAGATGGGTGATGTCCAAAAGTTTTTTCTGCAAAAAAGCCTTCTCAGATCATTTTTCTTGCGTTGGACCACAGTATCTTCATTCATACTTTTGGTACACTGTGCTCCAAAGCAAGAAAACGCTGACGAATGCTTTTGGGGAAAAGAAGCTTTTGGACATCAGCCATCTGAGTGTATTATGCATTTTTTCACTTTTAATAAACATAAGAATTGACACATGGATGCAAAGATGGCAGTGAAAGTTAATTAATGGAGTTGTCACCAACTCCATTAATTAACGTGTTGAGGAGAAGTTATATTTAGCTCAAGTTGCTTATAACACATTTACTGCTAACATACACAGGGTGTTGATGCTGGTTTGAGCCTAGTTTAGCCCAGAAGTAGGCTTGGTTTGGTCTTTTCTAGTCCTGTTTTAGTCCTTGGTTTCAGGTGTTCATTAACCCAAAACCTAACCTGCACATTTTCTCTGTCTCTGTCTATATTTGATACCACTTTAGATCTTAATTAGCTTCAACAAAGTTTGAACTAAGACATGAATTCTCCCCACAGATCAGCCTTCAGCAACAATGTCCGTGTGGCTTACGACCTCCTGAATGAGCCCTCTCCCCCGCCCTGTCCACCTGACCTCCAGATGAATGATACAGAGGGCCCCAACTCTGTGAGCGCCCCAGGCTCAGATGGAGACGGAGGGGGTGTCCGGGGGGGTCTGTACACACAAACCCTCGAGTGCCTGTGCAGCGAGGGTGGGGTTCCCGCCTCCACCTCTGCCCCTCTCCTCCGCCGTCTTCACTGCCAGGACCACGAGGCTGTGCCCTACGATGTGTTTCGGCACGGCGTGCTCACGTGTGCCGTGTTCTCCGACTACATCCGCCAAGCTCAGAGGCTGTACGCTGAGGTGTGCTGCCCAGACGACGGGCCTGTCTCTCGGGCACTGGGCATGGCGGTGATAGGGACTCTGAAAGATGCACTGGAGATGTCGCAAGGCAGTGAAGTTAAATGTGGTGCGAATGCAAACACTAAAAGCAGCTCATGTCCAGAAGCCAATGTTAAAGCTCTACGGTATTTAGAGGCCAGCGCCAAGCTGTCTCCAGACCAGTTAGCTCAGGCCATGGCCAATGCCCAGAGCAGAGGCCCTGGGGGAAGTATGGACGCCAAGGAGTTTGAGAATGCAGCGGCCGAAGTGTTTATAACCAGGGTCAAAGTTTTGTCATAGAGTTTACTCTGTTACTATGTAAAAGAGGTAAAATAACACTTAGAGCCATCACTCCCTTTAACCACTTTACACGTATACAGGCTACAGTTTGGTTGCCTGTGTTGTTATAGGGATTGCAAAGCAAACAAGTTACTTGGTAATTTAGTGAGAAGTCTACTTCAGTGTAGCCCACTGTAGCCTATCTCCTTCCTGTCACATCACTGAGACTTTGGGTGAGCAGTGGGAGTAAAGTGTATTGTGCAGGGACACAACAACAGAATGTGTATACACCCACATGCCCATGTGGCTACAAGGAAAATGCTTCCTGACCGTGCACTGACTAATAGCTTTACAGCAGCAGATGAACTTGGCTGAAGCATATATCCTATTTATCTTGTGTTCACATTGGAAACACAAAGCCAGCAACTCTTACCTGTGTAATGAGAAACCATGAATGTGTGTCTGGAGAAGTTATCACTCTTTAATAAAAATAAATAAAAATAAACAAATAAATAAACATTTTAATTAACTTTGACTTTTTATACAAATACCATATGCTTATTTTTTTATCCTATGAATGCACACTGAATAACTAGCCTCGGTAATTATGAATAGAGTTGAAAAGGCCCATGCCCAACCTCTAGATGGCAGCATTATCCTGACTCGTCACGCTCATACCTCATACACGAAACGGAAGTACACTTTAGCCAAACCACGGGCATGTCCAAAACATGGTCCAAAACAACACACCATATATTTTCATGCATGTGATGATAAACCTGCAGTAAGCAGACCATGGAGCACGAGGAGCGGCTGCGCTCGAGCCTGTTCCTCCTGACGTACGTGCTGCTGAAGCGGCGCAGGGACGTGTCCAGCGCAGAGAGCCAGAGGCGCACCGAGGTCCAGAGGCGCATCAGGCAGAGGCAGTACTTTCTGCAGCGACAGCGGAGGATGCTCATGGTCAGGTTCACACATGCTCAACAGAAATACATGTTCATCTGTTTCTTGTTACATAAAAGCTGTTGAAAAAATACATCGAATAGAAGGGGGGCGTGGCAAAACTATTCAGTATCTCTGTATGTGTCTGATCCAAACTACACTCAGAAAACTATACCACAGGGGACTCCAGCCTGTAGCTCAGGAGCTACCAGTATCTCTCCACCCCCTTCCAAGTAGCTCGCCAAGGGATTTCTGAATTATATGTATTGTGTTGAATAGGTAAAATTTGGATTAAATGCCTTTTCCCATTGTACGTGTATCATTTTGATGCCTGCACTGCAAAAATCCAATATTAGCTATATTAAAATGACTTAAATTCAGATTTAAAAGAATTTTGCTTTATTTGAGTAGATTCAACTTGAGAAGTGAAATTATCTACCAATGGAATAAGTTTGTGCACTAATAAATGGATAATGGTTTATGTTTTATAAGCATCTAACTGTGCCACGTGGCTTTTATATACAGTGTAGTCATTTCTTGTGACTTGTAGCTCTCTGGCATTTTCATTTAGTAAAAGGGGTTCACCAGAGGAAAAGGTTTGGAGACACCTACCACACTTGCACAGGAGTTCATGCTAAACCAACCATTTATGCAGAAAATGTACTAGGAGACAATGTATTTAAAGGCCAACGCGAATCATGACTTTAATCTGACTTTTTACATCAATTAATCAACTAAATGACTAAAGGCTAAAAGGAAGGTGGACTTAATATGAAAAAGTAAAAACAATTTCTGCAAATTTTTGGGGAAACAGTAAACTCAAGATTTTATCAAAACATTGTGAAAAATGTCTTTCTGCTGATGCCTTGTAATTAGCTTTTTGACACATTTCCCCTCTTTTTTATATATATATTTAAAATTACAAAGCAAAATATACAGATAGATTGCATAAATTATATTACATAGATTACAGTTTTTTTTGTCAGACATTCCAAACCACAAAGAATTTTATGTGGAAATATCTTCACAGATGATGGTGGCAGGAGGGATCCGCTCCAGTCTCCGCATCCGCACCCGCCCCTGGTCCACAACCCCGCGCACTGACTGGTGGGAGCGCGTCGTGATGACTGAATTCCAGCCTTCCGATTGGCTGGATAAGTTCCGAATGAGCAGAGAGACCTTCTTCTACCTGTGTGACAAACTCCGGCCCCGTCTAACCCGGCAGGACACCACATTCCGCATGGCTTTACCTGTAGAAAAACGTGTGGCTGTGTCTTTATGGAGACTAGCCACAAACATCGAATACCGAACCATCAGCAATCTGTTTGGAGTGGGCAAATCGACTGCATGCAAGTGTGTAAGGGATGTTTGTCATTCCATAGTGGCTCTTCTCAGTTCGGAGTACATGCAAACACCGAGCGAGCAGGAGCTGGAAGAGTCTGCCCAGATCTTCTTATCCGAAAGCTCATTCCCGCACTGTGTGGCTGCCGTGGCAACGCTCCACACCTCCATCATGACCCCATCGCAAAACACCTCGGACTATGCTAACCCCGCGGGCTGGCTGTCAGTGCTTTCTCAGGTATCTCCGAGCTGGATGACTAGTAGTATTGTTTGGATCATAATTAAACGTGGGTCTTCCCCTCTTGTGCAGGTGGCTGTGAGCGGCCGAGGGCACTTCTGGGATGTCTGTGCCAGTTTTCCAGGTGGGACTGATCCAGCAGAAATCCTCCAGAACTCCTCATTGTGGGCCATGGCGGAGGAGGGTGGCTTCTCTTCAAATTCAGCACCTACTTTTATGGGAACACCCCTCAAGTAAATTTTTAAATACAATATTTTACGTGAGCTGTTTGTGTTTGCCTGAAATATTCCACAATTTAGAATTACATGTATTTATCTTGAATTTACTCAATTTCTAATAATTTTAGTGCTCAACAATGTGAGCGGGGCGGCCTCTACACAGATCTGACCTGTTACTTGCCCTGGGGATAACACTAACTTGTCTTCATGGCACACAAGAACATCTACAAGAAATCATTCATCCCCACTGCAATAACTGCCCTAAACAGCATCAAGTAGCACTGTTTGTTTGTAGTCGATTAGTTTGTTTGTTTCATGAGAGTTTGTCTAACCAGTCAACATGCCCTTTGTCGACCTGGAGAAGGCATTCGACCGTGTCTGTTATGGTGTCCCGTGGGGGGTGCTCCTCGAGTGTGGGGTCTAGTGCCCTTTGCTAAGGGCTGTCCGGTGTATCAGACTGTTGTAGTGAAGAAGGAGCTGAATTGAAAGGCAAAGCTCTCGAATTACCGGTCAATCTACCTTCCTGCCCTCACCTATGGTCACGAGCTTTGGGTAATGATCAAAAGGACAAGTCACAGATACAAGTGGCCGAAATAAGTTTCCTATGCAGGGTGGCTGGGCGCTCCCTTAGGGATAGAGTTAGGCCACATAGGAGGGGCTCAGAGTAGAGCCGCTGATCCTCCACGTCGAGAGGAGCCAGTTTAGGTGACTTGGGCAGCTGTTCCGGATGTCTCCTGGACGCCTCCCTGAGGAGGTGTTCTGGGCATGTCCCACTGGAAGGAGGCCCCGGGGAAGACCCAGGACATGCTGGAGGGACTATGTCTCTCGGCTGGCCTGGGAACGCCTTGGAGTTCCTCCAGAGGAGGAGGAAGTCTGGGAGTCCCTGCTTAGACTACTGCCTCCATGACCCAGCCCTGGATAAGTGGGAGAAAACAGATGGATGGACATACGTGTTCTGATACAGCTCAGGATCATTCTACAACTATTCAGGAAAGGTTCATCTCTGTCCTATGAATGAGACTTTTTTAGTATCAAGACCTGCTCAAATGCAATACTAGTTTTCATATCAATTAGTATCTGACAACCCGACTTTATCATACATTTCTGACCTAGCACCCAGCTAAATTTTAAACAATGGGCAGTTTCAAATATTGTGTCTCGTGTCATACACACACCTTTCTACATGTACTAACAATAATAAATGTATTATTTTTTCTGCAGATATGTCATGGTGGGTGAACCCTGCTACCCTCTCCGGACCTGGCTCATCACCTCCTTCCACGAGCCGAAGAGGAGCAGGCGATCCCAGACTTCTCCTCTGTCCCACGCCCAACGGAAACTCAACCAGCACGTCCAGGGAGCTCTGCGGGTTTCCGAGGAGGCTCTGCTGAAGCTGAGGGGCCGCTGGCAGTGTCTGAGCAAGAGGAACGACTGCGGGCTGGATGTCCTACCCACCATGGTGCTGGCCTGCTGCATACTGCACAACATCTGCGAAACTCACCAGGACATGTTCAAAAGTGAGTGGAGAGAGGAGGTGGCTGAAATCGAGTACTCACAGCCCCGCCCACAGCACAAGCCACACCCCTCGTCCACCCCGGATCAGAGCACGGAGGCAGAGGAGATACGATTGCTCTTTTGTGATTTTTTTGAACAGCAAGAGCAATGAGGAAAGTTAGCTACGTTGTAAAGGTGACTATTGGCTGTGTTTTAGATGACATCCCAGTAGGGCTGAACGATTTTAAGAAAAAATTGTATTGCGATTTTTCTGGCAGATATTGTGATTTCGATTTCATCCACAATTTCAAATCAAGTTTTAGTGCACATGAACATTTGCAAACACCACAAACTTCTATTGCGTTGGAGAGGGTTCATGTCAAACTTTACACAAACGGCAGGTTTAAATCCTCACCTCCTCGCATTGTGGTGGTAAATTACTTCACGGTGCAAGGCCTCAACGCAGACCCATAAATCAAAAACAACGGTGTCAAGGCAATGGAGGCAGTGTGCATTGAGTCGACGCAGAACTAAACTTCACCCTTAAAACTGGGCTTTAGGAGGACTGCAAAAAACGCGGCTTTGATGCTACAAAAATTGTGCAATTTTCGGTCCAAAATTATAAATCGTTCAGCCCTACATTTCAGCATTTTATAGGCCATTAATATTTAAAGATCCTATGTTATGGAGAAAGGACTCGCTTTTAGAATTTGTTAACTCTTAAAACCATTCCCAAATTTGTGTGTCTTCATCTCCAAAGCTCAAAATGCTCCGTTCCACCTTAAAATGTCAGGATGTACCAGTAGTAATTTTCATATTAACAGCTACATTTTGTGTTTTGTTCAGTAGAGGCTGCAATTCCAAAGCTTTTGAAATTATTATGATTTTAGTGAAGGTGTATGGAGTTTAAAAACAGAGTTGAGCACTTCTGCAGGATTTGTGTGTTAAACGTGTAAATTAAACAAAACACATCTCCAGGTATGTTTTTGATGAGGAAGCAACATAACATTACGTAATATGAGTCAGTTTAATACAGATGGGGGCAACAAAAATGAATATTGTTAAATGCACAACAAGTTCTTGAGGCAAGTCAATAATAGAAATGTTCAGGTTTGTGAATTGTGTTATTAATTGGGGAATCTGTCTTTTGGTTGTAGGATATCATCACATTCTACAATCTGAAAACATCCAGTGGGCTGATTCTGCTCAAAAATGTTTGTAATTACACTTGAAATTTGTTTTTAAATCTTTATCCTAATTGTATATAATAACTTTTACACAGTACAATAGCCAAAAACTACAAACAAATAAAACTGAGCAAACCAGAAAAAGATAATTAATGGCGTAACGGAATATAAAAGTGCATACTACTACTAATAATAATACATTTTATTTATATAGCGCTTTTCTAAACACTCAAAGACGCTGAGATACTGCAGACAAAATAAAGGTTCTTCTTCCAATAAGAGCTTTCAAAAAACACTTGTCCCTGATCCTTTGATAATAAGTCCAAGATGTTTAGACAAATAGTTTATAAGGAGCTTCCATGTATTTGTAATGTATCTGTAAACATCTCATCTTTTCCACTGGCAGCACTCTAAAAAATCTCACTCTGCCACTGTGTCCTTAATCCATTTATTTAGTATACATAGCCAAGCGAAGGAAAGAAACCTTTATTTAACTATTTAGTGTCTGGGTCTATATTGTAAACTAATTGTCCTGCATTCTTACAAATTTTATATTTCAAAATTAAATCGGTATTTCATTCACAATGCATGTTTTGAACACCTCCAAGACTATTTATATTTGGGAGAAGATTGAAATGAACTTCTTAACAATACAGAAATCACATACATGTCAAAATTTTGAAGCATTAGTAGCCTAAACTATAGAGTTACCACCTCTTTTTTTTCATAATACAGGTACAGGATAATTTATTTATTTATTTATTTAAAACAAGGACAGTGCACAGAAATCATTCATCTCAAACAGAAAAGATGCTCTGTGCCAGATTGAGCTACAAGATACTTTCCATCTGCAGACCTTTGGCTTTGTTTGCAGAGGACTCTATATTACCTAAACAGCTGTAGCCCCTTTGAATTTCAAATTACGATTTTCAGTTTTTAAATGTGTGTATATTTTTGCATTTTTGTGTATTGTTTTTGCATTGTACTTTTAGAATTTCTTGCACTAGACTTTGTTATAATGCACAGTTTTAGAATAACAGTTTCAGAATTTAGAGTTGAGTTTTGTAATTTTGACAAAAGAACTTAAAAAAATAGTTCATAAATCAGCAACAGTAATAAGCAATAAACAATTCATCCATCTCTCATTGTCCATAGACCTTAGTGCTTTCTTTCTACCTTATCACCACAAGATGCCGCTAGTCCTCATTCTATCTGTAACTAGGGTACAGAATCCTCCCCTATTTGATCTGATTGATGCAAAATTCACTTGTTTTGAAGCAGTTGGTGCGTTGCCATGTGTGTCACTATCCTCGCTTGCTTCTGGCTACTCCGGTCTTGGCCACAGAACGCTATGAGCTGCTCGGAAAATGGGTGTGAGATTTTTTTCACACATTTGGTCATCTGAACAAATTGTACTGTCTGTTTTACTTATTTTTATTCATTATATGATCATTGTGGAGACTGGTTTTATCATCAATTTAACCAACTCGGATAAAAGAATATAGTGAAATAAATTATAGTTTGTTTTGGGCAGAGATCAGCAGTACTCAGTTACATTTATTTGAGTTTTGGATTTTTTGAATTGCACTTTTTAGAGTATTTTTCTAGCAGCTACTCCTTCTTCAGTAATATTTTTTATTGAAATAACAGTACTTACTTGACTAAGAGCTTTGATTTCTTTTCCCACTGTGAGTAAATCTTCAAGTAACAAAGGTTTTATGTTTTATGTTGACAGTATGAAATTATTTAAACTTTGTTTTTGTAGATTTTGTCCATTATTGACCGTTTTGAACTTCAAATTAAATTCAGTTCAAATGATAAATCTGATAGCTACTCTTCACGTTACTCTTACTTTTCCCAAAATACTTTGGTGTGCTAGGACTACTTTGTACTTCTGCTTGAGTAATATTATTTTGAAGTAACATTACTCTTACAATAGTACCATTTTTAGCTACTGCCCACCTCTGTCAGTCAATGCCTCAACCTTTTGTGCGGTTAAGATTTCCAACATGTATCAAAAAACACAGCCCAGATAACTGAGCGATCTTTTCACATTTAGCCTACTTGAGGACTTAAAGCCGCACTGTGTAACTTTTCTGTTGAGGGTCAAGTTACAGGTTAGAAACAGGTTAATGTCATAGTGTGAAACATTCCAGGCAAAGTGTTTACATCTCCATGACAAGCAGGTGCAGGACCCTGAACAACACTGAACACTGTGCACTGTACATTGTGTCCTCAGGTTAGGTAGGCCAAAATCCTCTTCTGTGAGTTTGTTTTATTATACACCTTTAAATATTTGCCTGTTTTTTTGGAGACTGATACTAGGATTATTTCTTTTAAGTAACAATACATTCACAAATCGCTGGCTACTCCTCCCACTGACTGTTCATAATTTGTTTTATTGGTACTGATTGTGCCAGTAAATCAAGTGGGCTCTTTAAGGAGTAATTCACCAGATACAAAAAGGCTGTTGCTACACTTAAACTGGGCTGAGTATCATTTAGAAGTTGCCGAAGCGATGCATACCTCGATACAGTTCACTGTCAGTTCGATATGATATATTTCAAATTGATTCGATATGGTTTAAAAAATAATGGCTAAATCATGGCTGTGATACTAAAAGTGTTTGTTTAAACCACTTCTTGTGCAAAGTTAATATGAAACACAAACATTTTTAATCATCAAAACAGTGAAAATGTGAAATATGTCCTCTAAACAAGCAACAAAACTGTACTGCTGTAATAAAATAATTTAGTAAAATATACCAAAAAATACTCTTGGCGAATATCGATACTGTATCATCACATTAAACTATACAATATATTGATATTTCGATATTTTTGCACACCCTTTATTCATCAGCTGGTTTCACTTCATGGAAACCATCTGACCTCGCAGCATTAGGATTTGTTCTCTCGACAGTAGGCGGGTACTTTTTTCATTTAACCAATCACTGCTATTTGGTCGTGACGTATGTAATGCGCCTCTAACGGGGTTAACTGGTATATTAAGCTTTCCCCAAATCCTGTAGGAAGAAGGGCAATAACGTCTTTCCCCTTGATAAAATTCACCAAACTTTCTCTTTGTTCCGGCTTCAAATCCTCGATCTAGGGAATCGTTGCCAACACAAAATGTTCGGCTCTCCTCTGATTGGCTGGTGCCCGAACTCGCACTTCTGGGGTTTTTGCAAACCGTCTAGTGTATTACAATTCCTGACCTAGTCGCTGGAGAGAAATGAAATTGAGCGGAGGCACTAGGTGGCATATAGGTTCTATATTACGCAAAGTTGACTGAGCTTGAAGTCATGTTATAATGTTGTTCCCTCCTCAGAAACAGACCTAGAGTTGTGTTTTGTTTCTTTCACACAGTTTGAGTAACCCTTTATTATTAGTCTGTCTACATCTCCAAAGCTCATAATGCTCTGTTCCACCTTGTGATGTCATGTAGCAGTAGTTTTTAAGTTAACAGCTACGTTTTACCTTTAGTTCTGTAGAGATTTGCAGTTCCAGGTGTATGCACTTTAACAGCACAGTGGACAACTTTCTGTATTACTACCTGACATCACAAGGTGGAACAGAGTGTTTTTTGTGTGTGAGGGAAGAACACAGCCTAAATATGCAGGATTTGTGTGTTAAACACACACTCTTTGAATGAAACAAAACACAACTCCAGATATGTTTGTGATGAGGAAACATTATGACGTAGACCAGAAAATTGTGTAATACAGGCCCTTCAAAATGTGCATGAAGGAGTAAGGGACCACCTACAGTATATATACTAATCTTTATGTAATCTATTTATCCATTAGACTGTTGCGTTTTTACAATGCAGACAACAGGCCAGCCTATGCACAGCTGAGAAGTCATTTTCACACTGTTGCCATGCTGTATTATTGAATTAGTTAGGTAGGTGACCAAGGCCGTACTGGAGAGTGGAGTTTTATTAAGCTGAGTAATACAGTGAACAATTCCATAAATAGCCTTTCTGTCCATGGGTTTCAGAACGATGACAATCTTGCCACGTTGCCATGGCGATTAACGATTCAAAACAAAATAGCGTATAGGCTATTTTGAATGGGAAAAAGTCAAAGATCACTAATGAAACTCATGCGCTGGCTAATTGTTACAGCCTGTAGTCAAGGGAATAATACAGGCAGACATTGCTATTAAAAGTTACCATAAACATCCATAATATAGCCACTTTGGGATTCTGCGGGACTACGCTGGGGCCAAAATGCACTCTGTCACCTCGGCTGAGTTGTCTCGAGATAAAGAAAATGTATCTTTACAGTGTGACCAAGGCCATGTTGGAGAGAGGTTTTCTATAAATAGCCTTTATATCCATAGGTTTCTGAATGACGAGAATCAATTAACGTTGTCATGGCAATTAACAATTCAACACAAAATATTACAGGCTATCTACTGAATGGGGAAAAAGTCAATTATCACCAATAAACATGAATTGCCTAGTTGTTTCAAATACCCCTGTGAAGTGAATAATACAAGCAGATATTGCTATTAAATGTAGTGGCATTAAATTCTCTCTACTACTACTACAGGATTATGTTGGGGCCAAAATGCACTCTGTCACCTTGGTTGAGTCATCTCTAGATAAATAAAATGTATCTTCATAATGTTGAACAAGGCTATGTTGGAAAGAGTTTGTTTTTTTCTATCCATAAGTTTCTGAATGACAAGAATCTAGTAATGTTGCCATAGCAATTAACTATCTTTTGAATGGCAAAAAGTCAATTATCACCAATAAACATGAATTACCTAGTTGTTTTAAATACCCTAGTAAAGTGAATGACACAGGCAGATATTGCTATTAAATGTAGTGACAATAAATTCTCTCATTAACATCCATAATAATTACTTCAACTACTACTACTACTATGACTACTATTACTACTACTACTACTACTACTACTACTACTACTACAGGCCTATACCGGAACCAAAATGCACTCTGTCACCTCGGTTGAGTCGTCTCAAGATAAATAAAATGGATCTTCACGATGCTGAGCAAGGCCATGTTGGTTAGAGTTTTTTTTGTTTTTGTTTAGTTTTTTCCATAAATACCTTTTCTATCCATAGCTTTCTGAATGACGAGAATCTAGTAACGTTGCCATGGCAATTAACAATCTTTTGAATGGGAAAAAGTCCATTTACACCAATAAACTTGAATTGCCTAGCTGTTGTAAATACCTTAGTGAAGAGAATGATACAGGATATTAAATGCAGTGGCAGTACATTTTCTAATTAATCATGCATAATAATTACTTTGGGATTCTGCAGGCCTTTGCTGGGGCCAAAATACACTCTGTCACCTCAGTTGAGTTGCATCAAGATAAATAAAAATGATCTTCCCAATGTGAACAAGGCCATGTTGGAAACAGTTTTTTTTTATTTTTTCCCATAAATAACCTTTCTATCCATAAGTTTCTGAATGACAAGAATCGAGTAACGTTGCCATGGCAATTAACTATCTTTTGAATGGGAAAAAGTCAAATAATACCAATAAACTTGCATTACCTGAATGAAGTGAATGATACGGGATATTAAATGTATTGACATTAAATGATCTCATTAACATCTATAACAATAATTACTTTAGGACTATACTGGAGCCAAAATGCACTCTGTCACCTCGGTTGAGCTGTCTCGAGATAAATAAAATGTGTCTTCACAATGTTGAACAAGGCCATGTTGGAAAGAGTTTGTGTTTTTCCATAAATACCCTTTCTATCCATAGCTTTCTGAATGACGAGAATCTAGTAACGTTGCCATAGCAATTAACAATTCAACACAAAATATTATAGACTATTTTTTGAATGGGATGATGTCCATTATCACCATTAAACATGAATTACCTAGTTGTTTTAAATGCCCTAGTAAAGTGAATGATACAGGCAGATGTTACTATTAAATTCATCTATTTTACATTATTACATTAAATTCTCTATCTTTTGAATGGCAAAAAGTCCATTATTACCAATAAACCTGCATTGCCTTATTTTAAATACCTTAATGAAGTGAATGATACAGGATATTAAATGTAGTCACATTACATTCTCCAATTAACATCCATAATAATTACTTTGGGATTCTACAGGACTATGTTGGGGCCAAAATACATGCTGTCACCTTGTTTTTTGTTTGTTTGTTTTTTAAACCAAGTCCATAAATACCTTTTCTATCCTTAAGTTTCTGAATGACGAGAATCTAGTAACGTTGCCATAGCAATTAACTATCTTTTGAATGGGAAAAAGTGCCAAGTTGAGTTTACATACCCCAGGGAAGTGAATGATACAGGCAGATATTACTATTAAATGTGATTAAATTCTCTCATTAACATCCATAATATAACCACTTTAAGATTCTACAGAACTCTGCTGGGGCCAAAATGCACTCTGTCACCTCGGCTGAGTTGTGTCGAGATAAATAAAATGTGTCTTCACAATGTTGAACTCTTTCCACATGTTGGAAAAAGCTTTTTTTGTTAGTCTTGTTTTTGTTTTTTTTAAACAAAGTCCATAAATACCCTTTCTATCCATAGCTTTCTGAATGATGAGAATCTAGTAACGTCGCCATGGCAATTAACTATCTTTTGAATGGGAAAAAGTCAATTATCACCACTAAACATTAATTGCCTATTTGTTTTAAATACCCTAGTGAAGTGAATGATACAGAATATTAAATGCATTGGTATTCAATTTTCTAATTCATCCATAATAATTACTTTGGGAATCTACAGGTCTATACTGGAGCCAAAATGCACTCTGTAACCTCGGCTGAGTTGTTTCGAGATAAATAAAATGTATCTAAAGTGAGTCATTTGCCACTGACAATAATGTTGCATTGCATTACGCATAAGATCGCTCCAAAAAGGGGGCCGAGCGTGGCGCACAGTGGCTGACACCCCTCTCCTTGCCCTCCCCGTCCCTCCCTCCCCTCCCCCACGCCCGAGTCTCCCGTGATTTGCCGAGAACAGCCGGTCGAGTCGCAGTTGTTCTCGGCTGGGATGGGAGGGGGGCAGCTTGACAACCAGGCCCCCGTCTAGTCTCCCCTTCCCTTCCCCACAGATGCGCCCGCTCCGCCCGACGCGCCGCTATCTCGCTCGTTCAGACTGAAGGCGAGGACCGGGGGGGAAGCGAGCGCACGGCCCGAAGAAGACTGTGGTTCGTTCGTTCGTTTTCTGGGGGGTCCCGTGTAACACCGGGCTGAGCGAGCGGAGCGGAGGATGACTCTGGAGTCCATGATGGCGTGCTGCCTGAGCGAGGAGGCGAAGGAGTCCAAACGAATCAATGCCGAAATTGACAAACAGCTCCGGCGAGACAAGCGAGATTCCAGGCGAGAGCTCAAATTACTGCTGTTGGGTACGTGTGCGTCGTTAAATGCCCTCGCCTTTTTGATTCCTGGCGTTTTGTCTTTTTTAGGACCACCATCATCCCTCCTTCGGCCTTTTGCAGAGCTAGCCAATAAGCTACTGTCGCTAGCTTTACGCGTGGTTTGGGAACGGCCGTGCGAGATGTGCGCGATCGCCAATTCATAGCAAAACGATTTTTATAACGAAATATGCAGCTATGTATTCGTGCACATTGTAATTTCGCGTGGACTTCCCCTTTTGGGCATCTGTCTGTAGCTTGGTTCGGCTTTTTCAGGCTACCACATGCTAATCTAAGGCCAGTTCTAATCATTATTGACTAGACATCTTAACCAATGGATAATTTTGTTGAGTACATTGTCTGACGCGCGGTTTTAATGTTATTATCTGCTTATTACATAACAATAGTGTAATGTTAGAAGTAGGCCTAACCTCCATTGAGACCATTCGCTAATTATTTAATGGATGTATTGCGTTTGGGTAGGTGGAATGTGATGCTCTTGGGCAAGTTGTGCGTTTTGTTCTGCCGAAATCCGTCTGAAATGTGCTTGGTATTAACGTGTACAGACAATGGATATGTTAATCAAAGGTTCCACGTTGCTGTCAATCTGCAGGACAATTAGTTCAATCTAGGTTAGGGAGGGTTTGCGCTGTAAAAGGCTCTTGCTCCCATTTCCTGCTTTCCAAAAACAGCCCGGAGTATTTGACATGTGTGTCTTTTTTTTATTCCCCCAGTGGATACCTCAACTTGGAGAATGAGGCCATTTCATAGGTAGATAGCAAAGGGTGATGTGTCCTCTTGTAGAACTCGTTTATTGTTTTATTAGTATGAGCTGATATGTTGTATGATTTTTATTTGTTTATTGGCTCGTTTTGAATATGTAGAGTTAGGATGAGGATTTTGATACGTTAAGGAAAGGCCAAATGACAAGTGTTCAACAAGTTACTGCAATAAGATGTAGTAGTGGAACGTAACGGAGTACAAGTAGTAAAGTGGAATTTTATAGTGGATACCTTTTAATTTTACTTCACTACATTTGTGAGCAGGTATCTGTTCTTTCTACTCCACTACATTTATTTTAATTTTAACAGAATTGAAATGTAAACGTATTTTTATTATTGCATAGAGATGTGCTGAAAAAGCTTTTGTCAAGTTTATAGTTTGAGCAAACAAAAATGTAAAACAACAAGAAAAAACTATCAATTAATTTGTTTAAAATCAAAGACAGATGTATTTGAGACACTTTTACATTTTACTCTTAAAGTAAATTTTAGCACAAATCTCCAAAATATCAAAATCAATACATGTGAAGCCTCATTAGACACAGTACTTTTACTTTTTACTCTACACTCTACATGTACCTTTTTAAACTGGTGCTTTAATACTTTCACTTCTGCTCCTTCCACCACTGGCTAATATCATTTTTCATAATGCTTTTTAGAGCTGGGAATAACGGCTCTTCATGATACGAAATGCAAAACATGGTTAAGAATCTGATAATTTCCTGATTTTGCAATATTTGATACCTTATACGTCACTATTTTTAATGAACCGAACACATTTTAACCACAGTAATTCTTTGTTAAACCACTTCCTGCACAAACACGATGAGGAATACGTAGATTTTTAATGATCAAAAGAATATGTCAAGTGTATTGCATGAACACATTTTTCTCTAAAAAAAAAAAAAAAAAAAAAAGCAGCTGTCACAAAATGATTTAGTAAAATATACTCAAAAATTCTCACATTTATGCGACATGCCCAAGCTGTTGATTTTAGCCGTATATTGTACTGTCCCTAGAGTCTGCAATATGGATAATGTCTGACCCAGGGACGTAACATTTAATTTCACTTGAGAAAGATTTGAACCAATGATTTCCTGCTTGGTGGGTAACCATTCAACCCACTACACCACTGCAAACCCATCTCGTGACTGTACAAGTAAAGTAAAAGGAAAACTCTCTCAAAATATGTATTACAAGTCTAAACAGGACAGATTAGGTTTGGTAGAAGCTATTTATTTTACCCTCTAGAGCTCATATATTACCTCATTACATTAAAAAAAATGCAAAAATCTGAAAAATTGTCCACTCGATAAATACTGAGGCCCAGAAAATATTGTCCAGTTTTTATATTGAACGTGACAGGTCTTCACTTGAGATTTGAAACGATGATCTTCTGGTTGGTGTGTAATTATTCAAACCACTGTGCCATTACAAAGTAGAAAGAAAAGTCTCTCACCGTAAATGACAAGAAATGTATTAAAAGACTAAATAAGACAGATTAGTTATTGTAATGAATGTCCCGTGTAACTTGGTGCTTATATGCATCAAGGTGTAGCATCGATATTCACACATAATTCATTGTTTAGTATTTACGAGTGGATTTGTTGGAAAAAAACGTATGTACTTCAGCAAAACAACAGTGATGTCATTCTTGCAGTTGGCACAGGATCAGGTTCTGTCATCTCTCTACAGCTGATAAAGTATGGACCCAGTGGAAGACTTGGTCAGCACTACTACAGATATACTACGATGAATAATGCAGTGGACACTACTTGTTGATTTTTGTAGCAGTGTCATGATAGTCAGTTAGCAAACATCGATATGTGAGACCAGTATTTACTCTCAAATAAGTGTTCGCTTTTCTGTGTAAACTTTCACAATCAAGTACAAGATCTGAAGGAATTGGATTTTAGCAGCTACAGTATAACCAGTCAAAAGTTTGGACGCACTCTCATTCTTCCTTTTTTTTTTACTACTTTTTACATTTGATATGCATATAAAAGACATAAAATATATTAAGTATGATATAGGAATTATGAAGTACAATGAATACCAAATGTTCAAAGTAGCCACACTTTGCTTTGTTGAAAAATATTTAGTAGAGTCATTTTAACTTTTTTCTTTGCTAAATAATTCCATATATCTTGCTTCGTATATTTGACGTCTTCTGTGTGTATCTAAAATGTAGAAAGTAGTAAGAAAAAAATGTATTAGAATGTGTGTCCAGACTTTTGATAGTGTAACATTCAAGGTCCACATGTTGCATTTATGTCGTATGATAATCTGAAATTTGCTGGTTTACAGAAGTTCAACAGCCTAGTTCATTTTTTTTTATATAGTCATTGAGAATATGATGTGTATTAATTATTTTGACAGGTGTTGCTCAGTACTGAGGTGTGAGTGATGGTCCTGTCTCTCGTGTAACCTGCAGGGTCACAGAGTGAAAGTAAAGTAGGCCGGAGTACAGATGTAGCGGTCTTGTGTGGAGCCCTAGAGCCCTGTCTGTCAGAGGCCATATCAGGCCATGCAGACCCAGGCAGACCATTTCCTCTGCACACACCACTGCTTTGCCTCTACTTGGTCAAAACACAGCTCAGTCTGGCCTCTGTGCCCAGGGTTCACACACTCTGATGGAGTGGCACATGTGAAAGTCCATGTTCTCAAACAGAAGCTACATTTATTCACATGTCTGTAGTGGGGCCTCTTCTTCAGATAGACTTTGCAGTGCTGGTCACAAACATAATGGTCTTCTTTTAAATTTACTGTGACAAATGTGTGCTGTGGGTGACAGGGGCACCTGCTCTTTGTGTTTTACTGATGCCTTTGATGACCTAGGAGGACTCGGTATCATTAAGAAGTTGCTAATATGATACCTAGATATATAGGCCACAATCTGAATACAGTGCACTTTTGAGTCAATACAGTTCAATACGATGTATTCCAAATCGATTCAGTGCGGTTCAGTAAGACATGAAGGTTTTTGTCCCCTTACTTAATGATCATTGAAGCTGAACAATGTGCATTTTGTTTAGTGCAAGAAAAACACATCAAACTGTTGCATTGGTCATTGTACTTCAGAGCTTATCATGGCTGTGATATGTCATATGTGTTGGATAAACAAGTTTCCTTCCTCTAAACAAGCAACAAAATTGTGGCACTGTCACAAAATCATTTGATAAAATATACAAAAACACTAAATACTCATAGCAATATGTCGATATTTTTGCACATCCCTGTTTGATATTACTGGATCAGATTCAGGAGTCTTATCAACATTTTGAACCTGGGATTCTGGTCAGGATTTTCTCGCTGGAATAGATGAAACTGGCTCTTAACATGAGGTATAGTTTTGAACATACAACTTGAGACCTTTGTCATAGTAAGCGTTTGCTGATAAGATAGTATCCATCAGCTCTTTCTCTCTAAGAGAAGCAGGTTCTGTCCTGTAGTGATCTATCTTCACCTTGGTTCTGTAGCTCAGACCGGTGCCTGTGACTGCTGACAGAGCTGTGCTTGTGTTGGTCCATATTATTGTAAAACCACTCCTTAGCAGAAGCTCCACAAATGTACTTTTCCCATGTTCTATTGATCAAAGTGATGACATCACCTCCCGGAAGTAGAGGCCTACTCTTAGTCATGCACAGCTCCAGTGTGCACTGTGCCCTGTGCTGCAGATGATTAACAGAGCTGTGTGAGGCTCATGTCAGCAGTGTGCACGCTACACCACTGCACTCTTATTCTGACAACACATCTCACTTTATATATGACCCATTGACCAGCTCCTTCATTCAGAAGTGTTTTCTGTTAATTGTAGAGTGTAATCGCAATTATAATAGTTGTAATTCACCAGCTGCTAAGGCTATAAGTATTTAGGGTATATGATGTCCTTCACATGGCGTCTTATGTAGAACCTGTTAACCTTGTTCATGTTTTGAAATGCTTTTTGAGCTGTGCACGGTGGGCGAGCTGAAAATTCACATTCACCACAAATCGAATCACATTTCAGTATTGATGCATTAGAGAGCTGCCAGACCTATCATCTCACAGACTGATTGACAAATGCTAAAAGAGCACTAATATTGTTTCTCCTCCTCAGCTGAATATCCGCTGGTAGACGCTTCATGCTAACACAGTAGCTCTGAAGCAGGATTAGATGAGTTTATTGCTGACCTGCCTTCTTTTGCCAGGCTGTCTTATTTTGATCAT